AATTCCAGATACAAAAACACATTTAAAAGCCTGTTTTGCTTATCCACAGTTTTATTCAGATTTAAGCCAGTTTACATTGCAAAGTGACTTTACAGTTTACATTACTGCCTGTAGCTCTACTCCCCAGTCTCCTGCCCTAGTGTCAGTGAGGCTCAGTAATAGCTTTCAGGAATGCAACGATGTACTATTTTCTGTTATTAAAATACTTGTTCATGTATCAGATTTTTTTTTCAGTTACTTTTCCAACTTATTTTTCAGCTGCTCCTGTTGATGTACTAAAAGCACTAGATTTTCACAGTTCTCCAGAGGGAATATCAAAAACAACAGGATTTTGCGCAAACAGAAAGAATTCAAGAGGTTCAGATACGGCTTACAGAGTTTCAAAGTTAGCCCAACTCAGTGCCCCAACGAAACAGTTATTTCCAGGTATGTTCCCAGGATTATTTTGCTGCTCTCACTACTACTGTTGTTGCTACTAATACTGCTTCTGTTTTCTTTGCGAATAACTGTAAGATACAAATTATAGGCTGATAGATATGCTTACTGGAATATATAATAACTTTTTAACATGATAAAACATTAAGAAAATATTTTATGACTTATTAAAGTGATAATAAATGTTACTATTACAAGATCACCATTAAGATATCAAAATAGTGTTATTTATAAAATGAATAAATGATCTTTGAAAACTATATTTGGATACCCTATCTTCTGTTATAAGAAGATATAAAAGCAAGTTTTCTAATGAGTGATAAAAGCAGAAGTATTGCAAATGTCAGCAGTTATTAGCAGGAGGCATGAGAATTTTTCAGATACAGTCATTAAGATGTTTGGCTGAAATTAAGATATATACTTTGCTGAATTTCCGTTCCATTTTTAATTGTCTGAAAGTGTGTATCGGAATGGACTAGTCATATATGTATTACACATATAAATGCATTGGAAGTGACTAGAGCTTGCTGTTGAGCTAGATAAATTGACTTTTCTGTGGTAGCGTAGGGAGTTCTGAAGTGCACAGCTTCTAGTTTGAGTTTCAATATTGCATCTGTGTGTACATGCTTAGGAGCACATCTTGAAAAAGGCTTTCTGTGACACACCCTCACTTACTCAGCGTGACAGCTCTGCGGACCAGATTGCGTCATGCTCCCAGTTAGTGCCTGGGACGTCCACTTGAACCTAATGGCCTGAAAAGATCCAGAAGTTTTCATAGCCATAGTGTACTACTTTCTAATTACTTTTGGTCATATTTATAGCTTAAGATATATTTATAATGCTTGATATTTTTCCTTTTATAGCATGGTTTAATAATTTCCACTAAAAAACTAATTTCATTACTTTGAAGGATTCCACTATGTAGGTATCTGGTATTTCATTCAGTTAGCCTAAGTTAGTGCAACCTATTTTCACATTGTACTTCCTTAACCACTGTTTCATAGTTTTCCAAATATTGCCACTTTTACGTGGGCATACACCTCTTGTACACATGGATGATGTTTAACAGAAGTAATCTCATTTCCAAATAATGTTGCCTGTTTTCTGTAGCGGAATAAAAGAAGGATGCAATAAGATATATATGTAAATCTGAGAGAAATAAAACCCACAATTTATATAAGAAGGTATTGCCTAACTGTTTGGGATATTCTTAGGGTACTCACGTAACTGATATATGTAACAAATGTTTAAGAACCATCTGTGTCACCCCTTATGTCAGATATTTGCGGATGTGCCTATGGAAGAAAAAGAAAAGAAAAAGGACAAAATATGCCTCTTGCACTGAGAGGCACGTTAGCCAAGCACTTAATAGTTATGATTTATAATTATATATGCATTTTCTATTTTGTGGTAGGAGCAACTGATCAAAATCTCTCTAGCTTTTGAAGAAATGATGAAAGTAATACACTTCTAGATCATGTCATTGAAATTTATTTATTTGGCAGAACCGGGGATTGAACTCAGGCACTTGCACTTGCCAGGGAAGCGCTTATTCCACTGAGCCATCTCCACGGCCCCTGAAATGCCTATTTAAAGAGGGAATGTGTGGCTGTGCACTAGAGAAAGCCAAAGCCAGATAATACAAACCTGCACTGAAAGTAGTAATAACTTTTTTTTTTTTTTTTTTTTTTGCGGAACTGGGGATTGAACTCAGACCCTTGTGCTTGCCAGGGAAGCACTTATTTTACTGAGCCATCTCTCCTGCTCCAGTAATAACTTTTACGAGAACTTTCCTTGATTTGATATTGTACTGGCATCATGATCGTGTTTCCACACTTTCAATGCAGTTTCACATAATTATGTTTTAAGTGAGTGACTTTAAAATTTGAATATTATTTGGATCAGCTGTATAGTGAAAATATGAGTCAGAGTCTGACCATGCCTACCCTGTGTGCTCTTCACTGCTGTGAAAAGTTCCCGAAGAAAGCAGCTGGAAGGAAGAAAGCATTACTGTGGCTCAGGATCGCAGGGCTGTAGCTGACGATGCTTGCTCCATTATTTCTGGGCCTCAGATAGGGTGGGCTGTCATGTGAGGCGAAGGTGATAACCACTACACTACGGAAACTGCCTTTGGGTGGGCTGTCATGGCAGAGGGGCAGGGGAGGAAGATGGCTTGCCCCGGAAGCCGCAAGCAGAGGGACGAGAGAGTGAGCGGAGAGTGCCAGGGGGACGAGCGGTGGCTCAGGCTGCGCCCCAGCACGCTCTCCCGTCGCTAAGAGCTCACCGAGAGTGACTCTGCAGCCAGGACAGACTGCATGGTCCAGTCCCCTTCAGAGTCCTCTTCTGTGCATTGCTGCCTTGGGCTCATGTCCCCAGCGCAGCGCCTGCTGGGACCTGGCACATCGAGCTGTATCACGCCCTACTGGTTCTTAAGCGTCACCATTAAATTGAGATGATTGTTTGCTTGGGCCTTATAGAAAGTTATAAAATAATGCTTTGTCACGGGAACAATGTGCAAATTCAGAATTTCTAACTCTTTGACCTCTTCTCAGGTGGAAGTTTTCCCGAGGATTTTTCAATATTGTTTACAGTAAGACCCAAAAAAGGAATTCAGTCTTTCCTTTTGTCCATCTATAACGAGCACGGCATTCAGCAAGTTGGCGTTGAGGTTGGGAGGTCACCTGTTTTTCTGTTCGAAGACCACACTGGAAAGCCTGCCCCAGAAGACTATCCCCTCTTCAGAACTGTTAACATCGCTGATGGGAAGTGAGTGACGTGGGGAGCGTGCGTGTTGTGCTGAAGACAGTTCTTTCAGCTGTCCGACGAATGTCTGTGATGAATTTTACTAGGTGCTTGTGAAGACAGTAAAAAGGAAACAGCTTAACCTAATAAGTGTGCTCCGCGTCAGGCAGCCTGAGCCGGTGTGGAGCAGGCATGGCCTTAGGCTGAGCGTGGCGAGCCTGTGCTGCGGGGGCAGCCGGAGCAGCCTCTGGCCGGGCCCGCGTGGCCCGCCTGTGCCGGGGAGCAGGGCATGCTCAGGTGGAGGCTGGCGGGGGGCCAGCAGGGGTGCGCGCAGGGGGGGTTTTCAGGGATTTTGTGTACTGTTTTCAGTAAGAGAAGTCACTGGAACTTTTAAAGCAGGGAAGTAGTCTAACGTGACTTTTTCTAAACCAGGAATATTAGTATATTATAGAAAGTTCTAAATGACATTTGATATATGCTGTGTACTGTTGTAAGCACATAATATGTAATTAACTGATTTGTCACAGTTGTTTACAGAAAATAATGTTAGTGAAATTACAGATAAGAAAATCGAGGCACAGAAAATTTAAGGTCATAAGGTTGGAAGGTGGTAGAAGTGGGGTTTACATTTAGGCTGAGGTAGTCAGGCTCGGGTAGCACGTCTGAGTCATGGAATAGCAGCGTGCAGAGGTGCAGTAGGCGCGTAAGTACCAGAACAGAGACAGTGCATTCGTCCTGTGTTTGTCAGGGCCACAGCGAAAGCAAGTAACAGGGTTGGGGAAATTGAGCTTTCACAGTAATTTCTGTTACTATCCTACAGACCAATAAAATAGAATGCTGTATATGTTTTCTTTTTAAGACAATACTAAATATTACATGTATCATATATTTACATTTTGAAAAACTTCATCTTGCTCTTTTAACTAAAAAAATGTGTTGCTACCCATATCTTACTTAAAAATAATAGTGTTTAATCTGAACACATTGCTAATATGTTATGACAAATATTGAATTAATATTTTTTATTAATTATCAAACAAGAATTTATATTTACATATCTCACAGTGGCAAAATATTTTCTTAATGATATAGTGATATAAATTAATACATAATATTTATTCACTTTTGCATTCACATACTCGTTCAATAATGATTCATTAAATACTCACCATGTGCCGGCACTATGTTGTTGTTCAGTTTGGTTTTTACAATATGACATTTATTGAAACCTACTGGCATAACAGTGCCTCAAATACAGAGGAAATGGCATTCGGTACACTTTCGCCTATTCAAGCAGCCGTCACGCTCCTCGCCGTGGCCAGCCGTCCCTTGCCTGAGCATGTACGTGCTGCTCACTTCTGGGCTATTCAGTGTTTTGAATGTTACATGCTGTGGGATTCTGGTATCCCATTGTTACCACAGTTGACTTGATGTAACACAAACACCGGGGTTAGAGTTCTGATCATCTTTTAACAGTTAACATGATTTCTTTTGTTCAAGTTATTTTTTTATTGCTGGCACATACCTACAATACTAGAAATAGCTTAAGTTAAAACACAGGCTTTTTGGCACAAACTGTGTATAAATTTTACTCTCACTGTATTATGTGACTCCCTATGTAATCTTTGCTCCATCTAGCCAAGAGGAGAACTGTGCTAGGTGAATGTGCTAGTGGAAAGATCAAAGATTAAGTAGTGCGTGTGGACCCATGCTTGGTTCTCGTCAGAAGCCCTGCCAGGGATCATCAGACAGGCCTTTTAGATGACTCCTGCAGGTGCTTGGACACGTTATGGATTTAGTCCCAGAAGCATTTGGGGTACTAATCTGGCACGTTTCATTTGGAGCAATTAGAACATAGAGTAGGTTGCAGAATTCAGACGAGCTTCACTTTGCGGTTTATGTTAGCAACAGGTATTGTTAACTAAACCGACTTTGTAACCGTATGGCTGGAGGATGTGTGTCCAAAGGCCACGTCTCCCATTCTAAACTTTCTGTTGCCACCTTGAGTTCACTGAAGCAGTAAGAGGCTTGACAACGCTTTCGTTCCATGCTCCCACTTCTGGGCAGCCCTGGAACACAGGGGAAGTACTGTCTCAGTCTTGGGTCCTACTCAAAATTGTGATTCGTAACTGTCTTGAAATTAATGTGGACAGAGAAAACAAGAATACTTGAAATAAATGAGAATAAAGACAGAACAGTACATCTTACTTTACAATTAGAATGTTCAGTCGCTCTAGCCGGAGCAGTCACTCAGCTAGTAGAGCGCCCTTGATAGTCAGTCTCAGGACCACAAGGAGTTCTTAGAGTGGAGTTCCACTTTGGAAGCAGGCATTTACATAGAGAGAAACGATGGCCCACCTGTGCTTGTCTAACGTCTATCGAATACGCTCATCAGGATCCAGTGAGATTGAACTTTTGTTGCAGCAACACAAAATGAAGCAAAGGATGGGCACTTCGTTGTCGGCTTAGACAGCTGGTCCTGCTGTGCTTCTGCAGCTGCACTGTGCTGGTAAACAGGAAGTAGTCACCTGCTGCTCAGCTGATTCAGAGAATAAATGAATGTACAATTGTGTACCATTTCAGCTAACTTTTGTAAATGTAAAATACACAGTAATTTAACATGAATAATAGTTTGGCAGCCAATATCATTGAGTTTACAAAAGAATTACTTGGCTTTTTCAGGTGGCATCGGGTAGCAATCAGTGTTGAGAAGAAAACTGTGACAATGATTATTGATTGTAAGAAGAAAACCACAAAACCACTTGACAGAAGTGAGAGATCAATTGTTGATACCAATGGAATCACGGTTTTTGGAACGAGGATTTTAGATGAAGAAGTTTTTGAGGTAAAAATAAATTGAAGTTAAAGCTGAGTACAGTTGAGTTAGATGCACTAAGTTAGTAACAGTGACAGTCAATATATGTTCTAAAGCAAAGTAGAAAACCTAAAAGGTGACCTGGCTGGTCCGATGCCGGTGGGCTGTCAGAACTGCTAACTTTAGTGTCACTGGAAGGTGACCTACTTTCTTCCTCTTTGGGTGCAGCAGTGATGTTTTCTACTGTGTAGTCAAAGTGGTTAGGCAGTGCCAACTGGACAGTCTGGGACACCTTTCCAGAGACTGGCTGATCTGAATACAGGCACGCTAGTCTTTAGGGAGGGACAGACAGCTTTACGTTTAGTACTTGGTAGTATTTTCTGTGGAGAAGATCTCATTTTCTTCATATCCCCCTATGGAAGTGTCCTTCATGGAAGTGACGAGTTTTGCATTCTGCCTTGCTCTTTGGTGTGTGAATGCTTCCAACATAGGTGTTGTTTAGCAAAGGTGAAGTTTACGCTTTTAAATTGCTTTATTTAAATAATGTAAAGATCATGACAAGCAGTTTCTTCCAGTTATATTTCACTGACTGTGGTAATTGCATGATTTCTTTTAATTCTTCACTCATCGCATCACGTAACTAATGCTTTCATTTTCAGCCATTTTTAATAGAACAAATAAACTCAAATTCTAAGCTCACCACTTCTAAGCTGTAGCTCATTATTTTTATGATTGTTTTAATATCACCTGAGTCATTTATTTCTCAGAGTGTAAGAAAGTGAAATTACATGCCTTTATATAGAGTAAGAGACGCAGTACGAAGGGGAGGTTGTTGCATTGTGTTGGTGTATGAACATATGCGCCTGCTTGGATGCACTCTGTACACACCCCGTGTGCGCTTTCATAAAAAGGACAGTGTTCACTCAGAATTCAGAGTATATTTAGTGTGTATATGGAATTTATGACATGCTAAATATAATTAATGTTTATGTCACTTTTAGGTAATTTGGAATACTTTTTTTCCCGCTACTGTGTACCTAAGAAAGTAGCACAATAATATACTTTATTATATTATGCTGAATATAAGCCAGTTTAGTTGATAGTGCTGACATTCTCAGATTCTCTAATACAGTTAAGGGATTGTATGCAAAATGATAGCTGTTTATTAGAAGAATGAGTATTAAAAACAATTATTATAATTTTAAATATTTTAGAATCTTAAAAACGCATAGATTTACAGACTATTTTAGTAGGTGTTAGTAGGTATTTCTGTAACAACTGCAACTTGATTTTCCAGCATCATAATTTAATAATTTGTGATTTCTTTTATCTTCTTTTCACCCTTTCTGCTTCTTTCATTCCCTCCTTCAAATAATTATTTAAGCTTTGTAATACCACGTTCCTGTCTTCGAGTAATTCCATATATTTGTAGAAATTTAAAACTTTAAGAAAGATAATTTAAAAGAAATTCTTTAATGGGTACCTTAGTAAATGTGGTAGTAATGAGTCCTGAAACATAAATGTATTAAGCTGCCTTGCATTTTGGAATGTGTGAAATCCGGTGAAACTTTAAATGTTTATTTGCTGTCAAGTGTGACCGATTTTAAAGTGTAATGAGTGCTCAGCCTTTCACCATCAGCTTACTTTTTTATTAACTTTGACCAGGTAAATAGGAAAAGTAGTTTTACTTAATAAAATTTTGGGAAAACTTTAGAGAGAATTCCTTGAATTGAATGAAGTTTTGTATTAATTGAATTGACATATCCAAATAGTTATATATAAGAATCAGATCTTTATGAATATATGAACTTTCAAAACACTATAGTTTCTACTTGAAAATAAAATATGACAAAAATAAGTTATTCCAATGTGTAAGCCTTTAAATCAGAAATAAAAAGTTCTTAATTTTTTCATGAAATTGCTATATTCTATCTGAATGTAATGTTAATATTTCACTAAAAATTTTTAATCATGTTTTGTGTTCATTTTTGTTTACGTGATGTTAGACTTTCAAATCTTTGTAAATGTATATATAAATATTAATCTAGAAATGATAAGAGATAGACTGGCACCATGTAAAGTGGTTGGCAAGCAGGATGATAAGGTTGTTGTGGTAACACCAGTTATTTATTAGTGTAAAAATCAGAATTACATTTCTGAATTATAGTAATTCAGATTATGTGAAAAGTCGTTGAGGGTATATTATTTCATGTATATACTACCTTACACTTTAAAATAGTATCAAATTAGTAAGACAAAATGGTTTAAACATGCCTATATTTGATTGATATCTGGTGAATTTTAAGAATTCAACAATAAACATACTGAAAGTGTCATGGTGGCTTTATAGACTCATAATTTACATTTCATAATTTTAACACTAGATTATGAGATCGAAGTTTGGAATGAAAAATCCCAGATTTTTTAATCTCAGCATGTAGTTTAATATTTGCCTTTCTGTATGTAATTATTTTATGTAAGTTTCAAAGCTTCATTCTATTAAAGAGCATAGACTCTCCATGAGTCTTTAAAAACAACATAGCTGATGTATTTAAAGTGCTTAATATAGTAGTATGAGTATACTTACTCATACGTTACATATGAGCAGTTGCTATTTTAATTATGCACCATTGTGTAGCTTTCTGTATGATTATTTCTTTTAATGATTTTTTAGCTGCAAATTTTCAGATACCCTTGTACACTTTTGATATGGGTAAGTCCTGGTATGTCTCTTTGAATGTCTCATAAATAAAGGGGTCTTTTCTTGGATTATTGCTGATTTATAAAGTACCTTGAAAAGGTTAGACAAATTTCACATCCTTTCTCACTCTAGATAGACAAAGATATAAAAGCTTTAAAGTGTATATCCTTATTTTGAAACTATGTAATTCTTTGCGTTAAAAATAGCTAAACTAATAAATGAATTTATGAAGATTTTATGATAAAACACTGATACAAAATATTTTTTTTTCAAAATATTTTTTATTAGCAGCAAAATATTGAAAGATTTTTGAATTACTGAAAGATATTTAGAGGGAGAGGATTTTTGGAAAGATCAAATAAAAGGTTTTCATGCCACCAGTTCATAAAACTAGAAAACATTATAAAAATAAATATAGAAGACCATTATAAATGAGGGCTGTAGCGTGTTTTAATAAACAAAAATTCATTATTTTCCAAAATGACAAATGTTTCATTTTGATTTGTAGCTCAATTGAAATCTTCATTAAAATCACTATTTTTGGTAGAAATTAATAAACATAAGCTATGCAGAAATGCAAAAGAATTAAAATAACTACAACAATGCTTTATGCAAAAGGTAGGAATGTGTTTTTACTTGATTTCAAAGTTTTCTACCAATCTACCCTTGTTCATATGTTTTGTTATTAATGAAAAGATAGATACAGCACGAGACTGTAGTAGAGTGCAGTATGGATACATTCACTTGTGGTTGATTGAATTCGGATGATTCAATGAATGACAGTAACATCTTTTTAAAGTATACTGAGCTAATTTGCTATCCTTATGGGAAAACAGGTTATCATTGAGCTCTACTTCACATGTACACAAATATTCCTTCTTGATACTATATTGTTATACATATTATCTTCAGCTTAATCTTTGTATTTGTCGTATGTATTTCTACATGCATTGAAAGTATTGTGCCGTTTCTTTTAATTCTCATTTTTGAAATCCAGATTGCCTTGGCTAGAGTTCTTCACCTGTCTGGAGTTTGCGTTGGACAGCAGATTTGCTGCGCTCACTTAATTGTCTGATGCGTGAGGAGGCCATTCTTTCACCTTTACCCTGGAGGAGTGTTCTCCACTAACGTGGGAATCCGGGGTTGGCAGCGTTGAGTTAGTGCTGTACGAATGTCATGCCTTAGTCTGGGGGCTTCTCTCATTCACATTCGAACCATTATTCTCATGATTTTTTTTGCTTCTGCCGGCACTAAGATTTTTCTTCATGTTTTCATCAGTTTGATTGTGAGGCATCCAGGTATTCTTTGTTTCAGTTTATCACTTTGGAGGATTCAAAGAGAATCTTAAATCTGTAGATTAATGTCTTCCAGCATAAACAGTTTCCACCTTAATGCGAAGTATTCCCATGATTGTGTTCTTTTCAGTGGTAAAGCTCTCTGACCCCTGGAGAAAAGTTGTGTCAGCTCTTAAGACTTTCTGAGAATTTAAGCATTTGAATCATCTCAGCATTGTCATTGGCTTACTACCCTTTTGTGATTGCCAATAAGTGCACTTTGTTTCTTAGAGAATGTTTTGATTCACAGCAAAACTAAGCGTAAAGTGAAGAGTTTTCTCATGCTACCCACATGCCTGTACCTTTGTGCTTGAACTTGTTACACTTGTTTAAGACACATGTATTATTTGTCCTATCAAGTTTGGTTCATTCTTGGTGCTGTGTGCTCTGTAGGTTTAGACAGATGTGTAATGACACGTAGTTACATTTTCACATCTTACAGAATTGTTTCACCACCCTAAAATCCTCTGAATAAAATTTGTCCGCGCTGCATCTATTTATCTCTCATGCCACCTGTGTGACTATACTGCGCTTTATTCATTTTCCACCTGAAGATCATCTTGGTTGTTTTCAAATTTTGAAAACTGCATAAAACTTTTAGAAATTTGTATACAGGTATTTTTGTAAACAAATTTTCAAATAAGTTAGATAAATATCAAAGAGTGGGACTGCTGAATGTTTAGTTCTGTGAGAAGCAGAACGTTATTTTTAGTTTTATAGAAACTGCCACATTTAATGAAATTTCCATAGTTACTGTCCCATTTTGTACTCCTAGCAGAATCAGTGAGAGTTGATTTTGTATTATACCTTGTCAGCTCCTCTTGGCTTGCTGTTCTGGATTTGTCCATTCACATAGCTAGCTATGTGGTGGTATGTCACTGTAGTTTTCAGTGTCCTAAAGAATGCATTGCCTGCTGGGGCTTTACATCTGTGTCTCAGGGAGAGTGCCTTTTCAGAACATTTGCTCATTTTTAAATCAGATTATTTTGTTATTG